CCCCCCCCCTATGTGTGGTCAACCCTTTTACACGGCTGTAAATACTGGACAACATTAATCATTAAAGACAGTGAAAACAACAAAGAAGTAACGCATATATTATAATATGGTTTCTTATGAGACTTTTGGAAAGAGAAGAAATAGAAATTATGACATATTACTTCAAGGAGCCAACGTGAGCCGCTCACTAATAATAACAATTAGGAAAAGACACATGCAGTTTCTGGGACATCGGAACTTTGAATAGACTTAAGGGCCTTGGACACATATATTATAGTTCTCATTGGTAAAACTGAAGACAAAGTAGGCAGAGGTAGAACCAGAGCAACTTACTTGGACCTCCAACACAAATGGGTGACGGGGAAAGATCAGGATTATACAGCTTTATGAGAGCACCCAAGCAAAGGAATGATTGAAAAGCGTATCACCTCGTTGACGTCTGTTGCAGTTCTGGCACATCATGATGACGATGATATATTATTATATATAATACATTTATCCATAGCAGAGCTAGGTTAAGGCCAATAAAAAAGGCACTACCTCCCCCCACCCCCTCCTTCCGTTCTCTCTTATTTTCCCAAAATAATTACGTTTTTTACGTCGTGGTACTTGTCCACTTTTACTCATGTCCATTCAATACACATTTAAGTCCCACAAAGCTTTTTAAATCTTCGAAACTTCGTCATCTGTCCTAAAAAATATGTATAAATTCAAGTCGCGCCAGGGGGAATCTGGTCCCTGGCTTGGGGTAAGGAAGGTCACCTGAGATCATATGATAACTCTCACTATTAACTGCAATAGGGTCTGCGCAGGGGACGAAATAAGGAGTTCCCAAAGAGGTTAGTAATATCTTTGGGTTTTCCTCGGTTTTCTATTTTTAGATGGCGCCCTTGACCTGTTTGTGCCATCTTCCCTATGTCGTTGCGGCTGGCCTTTTTCCGTTATTTATGATATTTTTACCAAAAGAACAATTATTATTATAATAATTTGTTTCACGTTTAAGCCCATAAAATGTGTGTCTTTAACTGTCTTTTTTTTCATGCAAATGCTCTATAATGTGTTCGTGTGTTTTCACAAAATCCTAATGATATCCTTAAATCTACACAGTTACCAACGTGTTTCTTCATTCGGCAAGGTCCGTAAACCTGTCTCCGTGGTTTTATGCACCCCGCATAATTTAGCAAAATTTGATCATTTTTTGAGCATAATTTCTGATTATTTTCCTTTTTATCAATCTTTGTTAAAATTAACAGAATCGCATAATTTCACATTTTTGGGCTAAATGTGCATACTTTCAGAATTTATTTTACATAAAACCGCGGGGACAGGTAAACAATGTGTTTCTTTACTCGGCGAGGTCCCTAAATATCGAGTTTTTTCACTCTTCGAAATCCGTGTCGGGTATAAAAGCCTCATTCTCTATCGCCCTGATGTTCTGTTTGGCCTGCTCGTCGCCCTGAGCCTTGTAGTCCACCCAGCCTGAGAACAAGCATGTCGTGAGGACCGCGCCCAGCCCAAACACGCCCAGCAGGGCGCCACACGCGTACCAAGAGTCGCTGAAGCCCATGTCATCCGGCGGGTTGGCTGGAGAGAAAGATAATATAATATACATGGTACGTACCCAGTGAAATTGATTGATACGTTCATTGAAGCCACATGCGTTTGCTTTTATTTGATATCCTCTGATGATGAATGATGATGACGATGATTATGATGGTGATGATTGTTGTTATGTTGTTGTTAGCGATCCAGTAGCATCTGAGCGTTAACTCTTCTGCATGATGCCATTCGGTAATAGTTGCATGTTTGTTCTAATTGTTTTCTTGAGGAGTAGAGGCAATTAGATGTGTGGGGTAGCTTGGGAAGAAAACATCCCCTTAAATCAGTTAGTTTTCTACAGAAGAA